CTGATAGAACGTTCGCTTGTTTTTTAAGACGTTGAAAAAACGGTAAGAACTTTCGGAACAACCTAGTAGAAGTGTCAGTTGGACACATTTCACAAAGCATTTTAGGTGTTTGCTTGTATGTCACCCATTGTGTCTGATGAAGCACAGTGGGTAATCCACCGTACTAAAAGAATTAATGTGAATTCCGTGGAGTTTGCTGGCTTTTTTGACGAATTTTGAGCGGCATTGTATGTATCAAACTTATCAAAGTTTCCTCTCAGAGCAACTTAAACCATTCGTGCACTTATTTTCAAAAATATACTGCAATCCAGTCTATCAACTTATATCAACTGAATTTCAAATTCTAATATCTCTCTCTGCATTCGTTGGAACGACCAAATCAGTTGCATTTCGCATTCGATGACTGCCACCACTGTTCATTGATACGGTCAATGCCAACAGGTAGCGGCATCGATGTGGGGCCGGACGACCTTCTTTGCAGGGTCCGTTCTGCGCATTAATAGCCTTGCTGCCGGCAGCTCCCGTTACTTATCGAGTAAACGACCAAGGATGGTGGTGAGTACTTCGTACCCCTACACCTATCGCTTTCGCGTCTCGCCATCGATTTCGGCTAATTATTAGCTATTGTTCGCTCTCAGTTACCAGATAATTATCGCTTATCGATGATTGTATAAACAAATTTGTTACTAATTGTTGAAGTTCACTTGGAAATTTGCTGGGGTGACTTGATGTAAATGTTCTAGAACAGAACGAAATTTTCAGAGATCCATCTCTCTTCTTCACTGACCTATAGGTTTGATTCCAAGCAAAAACCCAAAAGAATTATCACAATAAACTTTCCTCTCTCATACCCAACAAATAATCTTTATTTCCAGCAAGAAATTGTTTTTGAATCGATGTCCTTGCTCGTTAAACTAATGCACTTTTTGCACTAAGCATTCATTGTGCTAATCACGTTTTGGTCAAGAGAATGCCTATCCTTGGAACCATATCTCGTAAAACTGCGCGAGAAATACAAAATTTTGAAAAGGATTAGTGGCTAATTCGCCACAAAGAAAGCTATAGGCATGTTTGCAAAATTTCAGTTTTCTAGGCATTGTACCAAATACAATATTAGATTGGAAAGAAAATAATGTCGTTTTTTTTTCGAGTTTTCTCCACTAAAATTGATTTTTCTTGAGAACCAAGGTATGTCCAAGGCAAAAAGTTTTATGGTTAAAGTTACGAATGTTTGTAGTATACTACAGCATTTATGAGAGGAGCCCAGGACTACTGAGTTTTTGCGGCGAAAATCCATTTTTGACACCATAAGTTGCACTTTCGTTCTGGCTCCAAACTTTGGGTAGATCACCATTTCTGCCAATTTTCGAAGATCACCCTATAGAGCTTTCTTTGCTCTATCGAATGGTACCCCTCACATGTTTTTTTGGATCCGTCTTATTACTTTCCTGTGAAAAATGACATTCTTCTCCAACCTAATATTTATTGACCAAGGCAAGTTAACCACAGTTACTTTTGCTTTACTATCGAATTCTAAAAAACGAAGGAAGCTGAAAATATTTAGAGAAACACTTCTGCAGTGATTTTTTTCAAAAAATTCTGCTTACATTGCATGCTGGTCACGATTACTTTTCTTGGAAAAAAAAGTGCACCTTACCATTCTTGGTTAACCGGACCTCGTGTGCTCAACCATTCATAACGTCTCCAGTAAGATGTACTGAAGTAAACGTAGTAATCGTAGTTATTGAAGTAATCGTATACTTTTCGAGCTTTGGACCAGTAGTTCTCCTAGCATCTCACATTAGATCTACATACTGTTGTAAGTGAATTTCAATTGCTATCTTTTATCAGAATCATTATCAGAAAGGAACTTTTTTCCAAAAAGTCACAGAGATAATCTAAGCTTTTCAAGATTTGCATAAAATAGCAGGCACGTGAAACCCTTCAAATAGCTCATGTTTTCTGTTGCAGAAACTATCCGATGACCAGCGAAAAGAAGTACTGAGTCCATTATTGAGCCAAGGATGGGAAATGGTCGAAGGACGCGATGCAATTCGAAAGGTGTTCCAATTCAAAGATTTCAATGAGGCCGGTTTTTTGCATTTATCATGTTTGAAAGAATAAAAATGAAATATTTGTTATGAAAGGGCCGCTTTTGTTTCGTTTGAAATTCTGATCATTTCACAAACTGCCGATCTGCCACTAAATAGTATAACAACTAAATGAAATTACTTTTAGGCATTCGGATTCATGACAAGGATTGCACTGAAAGCTGAGAAAATGGACCACCATCCTGAATGGTTCAATGTTTACAATAAGGTAATGAGGAAAAATTGATTTTGAGCGGGAGAAGATGTGTTTTACTGAAACAATATATTTTGAACAGGTGGACATTACCCTGAGCACCCACGACTGCGGAGGACTTTCGCAGAAGGATGTGACACTTGCGAAATTCATTGACACTGCGAAGAACTGAGCTTGCTGTTTCCTCCTTTAAGCCATTTTCATTGAGCACTTCTTATGGTTCTGATCAGCTCCTGTCACTGTCACTTCGTCATTTTGTCATAAATATGTACTAATCACTCCCACAGCCTCGGAAAATATTACGAGAAGTAATCATGGCAGAAGAAACAAAAAAACCTGCGAAAATGGCAAAAAACTGCTTGCAGAGAATTGTCTGCAAGTATTCTTTCAACCGCTCCGTCCGGAGCCTAGGTCCACACCTAAATTTTTTGGTGATTTATAGATCTGTATAAGCTTTTGGTAGAAGTTGGCTGTGTTATTTTTCCAAGTCTTAAAATATACTCCAAACATTTCGAGCTCTTACAACAGTCTCAAAAGGCAAAGAATCCGCTTTCTTGCAGCTTTGGAGAATCCTAAGATTTTCTAAAATTGGGAATACTCAAATGAAACTGTCATTCTTAAGCATGGCTAACTTTGTCTTAAAGGTAGTGACTACTTCTTTTCCAGCTCAAGACAAAGTACTACACCATTTTGTTCCCCTTAAAAATCCACTTCGAACATCTCTTCCAAACAATAAAACTGTAAGACCGCCCAGAATCCCTTTATTGCATGTTTTTTCTTACAGTGCGTGTTTCTGCAATTATTATTTAGAGGAATGAGGCCGGATCAGTCTCAAATCATTCCGATAAAAATTACGAAACAAGTTGGAGTAGTTTTGTAATGCACTCTACGAGGGCACATTGAAAATCGAAACAAAACGAATATTTATTATATGAAAGGCGAATCAGTATGATTCTACAGGACTAGTTTTGCGTCACCGAAAACAGGGAGAACACATTGCACATCAAGAAGGATATGAAGGATACCTTCGCAATGGAAACTAAATGTCGAGTCGGGCAAGGACTGAATCTAGGCTTATCACAGCAGTTAGAAACACAAATCGGGTTGAATAGACAAGCTGAATGTCACAAAGAAAACACTATTCGTTCACTGTCATGTCTACGCATTTCTACAAAGCAAGTATTATTGAAAATTAGTAAATCAGCTGATCCTTTTGAAGATCCAATATTCGCTGGCAGAGCACCTGTGAGTTGGTCTCGTAGGGATTCGCTAGCAGAACTGATGTGACTAGAGATTCCGGAAAGATCTTGCTAAGGTGATACTGTAGCTCGGTGCGATCGGGAGGGGTGCTGGAAGGAAGGATGTGTTCGATGCTGTTAGTAGGTTGGGAAAGGTTAAGCCCACTCTGGAGTAGTTAGGGGTCCGACGCTCAGTTCGCTATGGCCCCAAACGGCCGTCGATGGTGCGTAAAGTGATCCACTGTCAGTTTCCTGTTTGGCGTAGGAGAGTGGAGCCGATGCGATTCTGCTCACAGAATTGTGCCAAGCGCTTGTCGCAGTGTAGGAGAGGTCCCGTGGCTTAAATTAAATTTTGAATAAGCACCGTATCCGAGTCTGATGTTGGTAGATCTGGTGTACAGAAGTGAGGACTTCAATTAAGTGGATGCCCAAATTCTGCTGCAATAGGTATATTCCAAAGCAAGAAAATTGCTTTAGAAGATAGATGCTGCAGGGAGCGCCACGCCCATCAACTTGGCTGGCCTAAAGGTAATGAGCCCAAGGTTGGACTCATTGTCAGTAGTACCCTGTAGTCGAGACTCTCACTTTATTGGGTGGATCTCATTTCCCACTCTGGGTATTCCGAAGTGGAGTTTAGGTCTCACAGTTCTGGACAATAACACGTTGATGGGCGTGGCGTCCCCAGCAACATTCAT